AAAGACCCACACAAAATCACATAATCATAACATTTCAGAACACTGGGAATAAACAGAAAGCCCTAAAATCTTCCAGAGATGGGGGGAAAGGCTATAATAGGACTGAGGATCAGAATGGCATCAGATGTCTCAGCCAACAACAATGTAAGGTAGAAGACAATGTAATGCCTCTAAATTCTAAGAGAAAAATCATTTCAAATCCAGAATACCGGACAAATTACCAATCAAATATGAGGGTAGAAATGAAGGCATTTTCACACATGGAAAATTATGAAATATTTACTTCCTATGGAACTTTCGTCAGAAAACTACCACCTCTGGGGATATATTGGTGAAAGTTACATAGAAAACTAAGCAAAGCAAAGTGGTCTTTTACTCCACAAACAACACAAGGTTGTTGAAGAAATGTGATTAAAATAAACTGGATGGCACAGCTATGAATACCTGCATCGTCATTAAAAAAAAAATACTGAATAGAAGGTCAAGGGTTTGGGTCTCTCATTGGCCAGCCACCAAAAAAAAAAAAACTGAACAGGATTTAATGAAAGATTGTGTGATCATTATTACACTGGGAAGATATGGAGAAAGTGTATTGGTTGGGTAAGAGGAGTTAGTAAGAGACCTGAATCCTCATCTTCCACGGCAGGAAATTAATAGATAGTATCTAAAACTAAATAATCAAAAGACTGCAGCACAAATATGATAATAAGAAATATGTAAGTAAATGAAATACCAGATGAAAGAACCAAAAGATTTTTAGGTGTCTGCCTCTAGGGAAAGAGATTCGCAGGTGGGAAGAATTAGAGCAAAGGAACAGTTTTTTGGTATATATCTTCCTAAAATACGTATAGATATCACTTTGATAAAATAAAAAGAAAATTGAAATAAAACAAGGTATATATCTTCCTAAAATACGTATAGATATCACTTTGATAAAATAAAAAGAAAATTGAAAGTGTAAAAACGTTTCTTCATAATTTTTTAAATGGAGGTCCAACATGTTGTGTCCAAGAAAACTAATCTGAGATCATCAATAAATGTGTTAGAAACAAAATTTAAAACATCCTGTCGTCAAGCAAAATAAAAAAGAATGACTAGGAAGATATACCAGGCTTTGAGGAACAAACGTGGTTTTTGGCAGCTGGCCAGTATTAGGTTCCAGACACTTGACCTTGATGTTACAAGGCCTCGCTCTAACCAACTGAGTTAACCGACTAGCCTAGGAACAAATTTGATTGGGGGAAACTTCATATAGACAGAAACAGTACTCACTGCATTCTGGAAGGCACAGGGATTTAGAAGGGTGGACATGAGACTCCAGGAGAGGTGCCCCAGCTTTGATCCAAGGGGCTTATAACATGCAAGACTGGGGAATAATTAGCTCTTTCCCTGGAGTTCTTTTTCAGCGTAGCTCCCTCCTTCTCTGGAATTATGGTCTACAACTTCCAGATGCCAAAGCCTCCCTGTTTTCAATGTTTTCTCAGCTCAGCAAGACCACCATGTTGTTTCTCTCTTCTCGTGTCACAGCTGGCACTGCTCACCTCCCACTTTATGCTTCCCACATGCAGTTATCTTAGAGTGGTATAATTCCATATACTCATCTTCCATTGTTTGACTGTTGTCACATCTTTTACTTCTACATGTCATAAACCTCACAGTACAATCTTATTTTTGCTTTTAATAGTCAAATGCCTTTTATATAAATTTAAAAAGAAAGACAATATAGTCTTTTTTCTTTACCCACTCATTTATCATATTCTTTATCCTATAGATCTAAGTATCCAAATGGTATTATTTCCTTGGCATGAAGGGCATTCATTAGCATCCAGGCCTACTAGAAGATAATTCTCTCATCTTTATCTGAAAATGTCTTTATTTTACCCTCATTTTTGAAGGATATTTTTGCTTGATATAGAATTCTCAGTTTACACATTTTTCTTCCAGTACTTTAAAAATATCATTCCATGATTTCTCAAGAAAGGTCACTGGTTATTCTTACTATTTCTCCGCTGTATGTAACATGTCTTTACTTCTAGCTGCTTTCAGAGGGGCGTGGCTGAGGGCCTCAGCCCCCCACTGCCCCAGCTCGAGAGCCTGGGGCACATTGGGCAGCAGCCCAGTGGTCGTCACTGGGCTGGATGCCGACATGCGTGCGGGGCGGGAGCAGGGGGCAAGTAGTTGAGGCCTCTGCTCCTTCTAGGTCTTATAAGTGTTCTCTGCTGATATTAAACCTTTACTGGTTAATATCAGAACTTTGTCTCTGATCTATGGGTTTTTTGTTTTTTCTTTCAGTTCTGTGTGGATCATTTGCTATTCCCAGCACTTAAACTCTGCACTGGGACTAATTTGTTGTCCTTTGGTTACTTCTAAAATAGAGGAACTTCCTGTAGGAAGTAGCCCTTGAGCCCTGTGGTTGAGCTAAATTGCTGCTTTGCTGATTCTCTGGGACAGGCTTTTTGTGCAGCTCAGGATTTAATTATTGATCTTGTAAGCACTTCCAGGTCTTGTGAGGTATGGTACGCCTAGGTTGTGTGGAAACTCTGATCTGGGCCTAAGTCTTTTCAGCAAACTGCACTCCCTGCAGTTCTATATTCCTGACCAGTCTCCACTGAGTGGTCCTGTGCTGATTGGAGGGCAGATCAGCTGTCTATTCTATGCCCCAGTGTCCACCTGGAAGGCCTATCTCTCCCACCCCCTGCACTCCAAACACTTCCCATGGGACCAGCTGTTCATCGGTCCCTTGCAATGACTCACTGCCCTCTGTGTGGCTCCCTTTTTCAGTTGTCTTGGCCCCTCGCTTCTATGCGGGTCCATGGGAACCCTGTTAGTAGTCTTGCAGGCCTTGGGGCCACCAAGGCTTTCTTCTCCCTGGCTGTCTCCAAGCAACTTCACACAAAGGGCACAGCAGAGGCTTTTGCCAGCTCTTGCTCTGTGTGTTCACCAGGGCCATGCTGAAGTGGTCAGGGCTCAACATGGTCGGAGCGGTCCTTTCCTCCTCTCATTGTGGCTTCTCCCACCTTCATGAACTCCGTAGGTCTCTCCTCCTCTTCCCCTGAGCAATTGCAGCTCCAGCCTGGCAGTCGATGCTTTAAGAGTTGTAAATTGGTTGACTGGGAGATGGTGATGCTGGTTACTGTCTATTCTGCAGTCTTGATCAGAAGTTCTCCTCCCGTTTCTTTAAGTATATTTTAGATAGCTTCTTTAAGTCTTATCTGCTTAGTCCAGCTTCTGTGCCATCTAGGCTTCTACTGATTGCTTTTATTTTTTGACTCTGTAACACAATCCCTAACCCCATTTTTTTCGTCTAGTCATTTTTTTATTGAATCCTGGTCATTGTGAATAAGATGTTGCAGAGAGTATGGATTCTGTCATCTTTCTCCAACGTATAATAATTCTTGTTTAAGCACATAAAAAATACTACTGACAGATCTCCTTGAACATGTGTTGGCTTTCAGTTATACTCTGTGAATGCAGATTTATACGAAGTCTAAGATTTGTATTAAGTCCCTATATTTGGCTGGACCACTTCCAAACTCTGTGGATCTTATCAGGGCTTGGAAGTAGGCTGTTAGACAGGTTTAGAGTAGATCTTAGGTGATACAAAGGTGTTAAATGGCACACTAGCGCCAAAAAACCCAATGTCTCCTAGCACTGTTTCTCCTTTGGCACTGCTTGATCTCTAGTATTCTGCTCTGTTTTCGAATATGAGTGTCATCATCTGTTTGGCAAGTTTCATATGGTCTCATAGTGTACACATACAGCCCAACCTTCATGAGATACTTCAGGCCCTCTTTCTGTACAATTCCCTCCTCTCCAATGCCAAGCCCTTCATATTCCAGCTGCTACAGCTAACCCAACTCTGAATGACTGCTGTTCTAACTCTAGCTCTCTGCATCAGAGTCAGGAACTGTCCCAATACTGGGCAATTGTGAGATATATCTCATGAATTCATTTCTGTCAGGGATAATAGTCTTATTACTGCCTGTTGTCTACTGCCTGAAAACAGTTATCTCAAATATTGTGTCCAGTTTTATAGTTGTTTACACTGGAAAGACTAATTTGGTACCAATTATTCCTTCCATCACGGGTAGCGGCAGAGGTTTTGGGTTTTTTTTCTCAGCTGGCCAGTTAGGAGATCTGAACCCATGACCTTGGTATTACAAGCTCTGTGTTAGCTCTTCCAAGTGAGCTAACTGGCCGTCCCCATAATCCTTTTTAAAGAACTTATCTCCTTAGGTTAAATTTTCAGACATCAAATTATTGGTCAAGAGCAACATGGAATTTTCATGGCTGTTGGAATGTATTATAATAAACTGTTCTCCAAAAAAGTTGCTGCCACTTAAATTGATATATATTTCGACCTGCTATACTGCCAGAAAAATGAAGTTAAAAAAAACCAAACAGTAAAATCAAAACCAAAACCAAACAAAAAAACAGGGAATAGAATTTGGGCATATAAACTTTAAGTAAATGAAAAAATAACTGAGGGGGTTAGGGATAGCAAAAGTTAAGCAAATGGAAACATAAAACTAAATCAACCTAGAGAACATTCTGGAAAAAAGATTCATTTGTTGGACACTGTCCCTCAGGATAATTACACAATTAGGAAAGAAAGACAAAAAAATAAAAGTGAGGATAGAGTTACGTTTTCTTTTTCCACATGAGACTTACTTTCTTTATCCCTCTGGAAACTTAAAAATATCTCAAGTACAATAATAAAGTTACCAGCTAAGAAAGAAGCAAATATAGAAAAGGTATACTGTATCAATCTTAAGACCATTAATATAAGGAAGTGAAATGGCTTATTGACTTCATAAACAAGCCCTATTATGATTATGAATCAGTATGTCCAAATGCCTTTTTAGAAGGAGGCGGAGCGTAGACAAACACTGGCTGGATATGGATAGATAGTATAAATAGATGGTTTCGAAAACAGATAAAGAAGACAAATAGCAAGGGAAATGTCTGGGTAAAATAACTTAGGATTTATCTTTAATTACCGTTCCATCTTCCATCAGCTTCAGACAAGAACCAAAATCTGCTAACCGAATATGTCCATTCATATCCATCAATATATTGTCAGGTTTAATGTCTCTGAAAAAATAAATATATTAAATTTTTAGTCAGGAAACATAAATATCATCAGTTGCTTGGTAAGATAACCTTTTTTGTTGGAAAAAATCTCAACTTCTTTTAACATAAATACTAAGTAATACTAAGAACATCTATTTAACTATTTTATGGGTTCAAATTCTGGCTGTGATTCATATTAAAACATTCTTAAACACATGTAATTTCCGTATTCTCCTGGAGATAAAAAGTACTATGATAATTTTCATTCTGGTTAAATTAACCTTACCATCCTTCCTTTACATTTATACAGGTTCCAATGTGATTATGGTAGGCCTGCTTCCCGAATACAGAGAAGAATCATTAACTATTTGATACTCACAAAAAATACGACCCTCTAGTCCATGAAATTGGACAGGGAAAAATATACTTCCTAGACCCTGAACGTAACTGCAAACTGATTGTCAAGTACTGCATATCAGGACAACACAAAGTAATTGCTTCATAAAGCTAATGTTGCAGAAGAACTGAAACAACTACCTAACAGGTTATTATTTAAAGCTTTTAATATTTGTAGATGTTAAGTCAATGGCTTATAAGATATCCAAATCTAAATAATAAACTATATCATAGCAGTTTCTGCATTTGTTTTTTCATTTGAATGTAAATCTTTGCAAAATAATCATAAATAAAATGATTTTGTAAAGAAGATTCTCAGAGACCCATCAGTAAGTTTCTAATCACACTCTAAAGATTTTAATTGTGAATAACTAAGAGATTCGACCCTCTCAATTTATTTCTAGTGAAAAAAAAAAGAATCTTCCTCTTTTTTTTTTTTTAACATTACATATGTTAAAAAATTATTCTATTGCCATGTGGTTAATGAGAATATGGTGGGATCACATTCATTTAACTTGAATGATGCCATTTAAGGTCTCTATGCCTCAGTTTTCCCACCTTCTCTATAGGTATATATTAGCACAGCTTTGATTACCACAGCAATTTCTGTGAGTGTGTTGTACATCACAGGTTGGCGAATTATGGCCTGGTGCCTGATTTTGTAAATAAAGTTTTACTGGAACACAGTCACATTCATTCATTTAGTATTGTCTGTGTCTGCTTTCAGCCTACAATGGCAGAGTGGGTAGTTGTAACAGAGACCATATGGCCTGCAAAGCCTAAAAGTTTTCAACCCCTGTTGTAGATGATGGATGATTACTTATCAGAGACAGGCTAAAAACAACAACCTATATAGGAAATTGGCTTCTTAATGCTCAACAATTGAATTCTTCCTGAACCACCAGAAAAACTATAGTAAGAAAAATTTTCTGTTGTTTGGAAACATCAAAGAAGTATACTTCAGGGCTGAAGGAAGCTTAGAAACTACCTACACCATTTTTAGATGATGGGAAAAAAATGTATTTCATACTTAAGAAAATTAAGCTATATAGTTGCTGTAAATTACTGCTACTGGTATGATTTTCTCAAATTTTAAAGGAGATTAAAGAAATTACAAAGACAGGATTTAATACATCAACAATATTTTTGGCTACTTTAAAACAGTAAATATTAAAAACTAGTAAGATATATGAAGATATTTGTACTTATAATAAATACTATATATAAATAGAATAGGAAATACTAAAAATTAACAAGACATTATAGACAGTACTTAAGTATTCTATTATCATCCCTGATCTCATCCTCTCCCTCCACTACACAGAGGCAACCATCATCCTGAATTTTTACAACTATTAAACTATGTAAGGTATTTTTTTTGAATGTCTTTAAACTTTATAATTGATACTAAACTGTGTAGCCTTTTGCAACTTGGTTTTATTCAAAGATTATGTTTCTAAAACATTCACTTTGGTACATATTATTCTAGTTCATTAATTTTAATTGCTATATGGAATACTTTCATACGCAGATCAGAATTTATTTATCAATTCTCCTGGTTATGGAATTTAAATTGTTTCCAATTTTTATTCTGCTATTACACAGAAGGCTGACATGGGTGTTTTTTATGAATGTTTCCTAGTGCTCTTATGTAAATGCTCCTCTGGGCTGTGGATGCAGAAGTGGAATTGCTGAGATGAAAGATATGTCCACCTTCACTAGCATGATTACTAGTGCAGTTGGGAATCTTTTTACATTATCACTGGTCGTTTTAGGTTCCTTTTCTGTAAAAATGTCTGTTAATACCTCTGCCGTTTTCTTAGCAGCGCGTGTGTGTGTTCTGTTCAATCTTCAGGAATTTTGTTTACTTGAACTTAGTTCCTTATATGCATTACAAATCTCCATGCATACAGGCTTGTTTTTCCACTTTGTAGTGTCTTTCTTATTTGTCAAAAAGTATTTAATATTAATGTAGTCTTACAATTTATAATTTGTAATTTTTATCTAAAGAAATCTCCCTTCTCTTCTCTTCCCAGATGTCATAAGGATAGTGTCCTAGTTTTCTTCTGTAAATCTTAAAGCCTTACTTTTCATTTCAAGTCTTTAAATCTGGAATTAATTTTTCACTGTAGTGTGAGATAAAGGCCAATTATATTTCTCTCTATCCCAGCACCATTTATCAAATGACATTATTTCTTTACTGATTTCTACTACTACGCAGATCATAAATCTAATGGATTTGTTTCAAGATTCTCTATGCTATTTCACTGTATAATCTTTACAGTAAAAGGGAGCCTGTTAACAACTGCCAAGAAAATAGAAATAAACTAGAACTCTTTTAGGCAAATTGACACCTATGGTCACTCTCTCTATGCCTATACCTGCACCAAAACCACACTGTCTTATTGATAAGATAATGAGCTTCATACCAGTAGAGCATGTTTTTAAATTGCTATGACTCTTCTAGATCAATGCTAGGGCTAGCTTAATATGTTTCATAAAACATATCAAGATTTTGATGGAAATCACAATGATTTAACAGATTAATATGAAGAGAACTGACATGTTTACAATATGATTCTTCCCATCCATGTACTCTACACATCATTTGAGTCTTCCTCTATATCCTTCAACAGTATTATTTTCCAGAGAGCAACATCTTTTCTTATCTGTAATCTTGATAGTTTACAGTTTTGTTGCTATTATAAATAAGATTGTCTTAGTAGAAGCATCTCATTTTGCTCTCAGTTTAATGGGAATGCTTCTAATGTTAAACCATTAACACTAACATTTGCTTTAGACTTTTAGAAGAAACTCTATAGTAGGATAGGAGAATTACTTTCTATTGCCAGGTTGCTAAAAGTATCAGAAATGGGTATGGCATTTTATTGTCATCTTTAGTATCGTGATTTTTAAATAACTTATCTCCATTAATCTATTAACATGATTCATTACACTAATAGATTATCTGTGTTGAAACTCCCTTGAATTCTGGAATGAAACCTCCATGGCCATAGTTTTTTCTAATATGCCATATATCACTGAATCTAAAACTCCATTGACTATAAAAATTCACCATTATATTATGTCCCAGTAAAAGACAGAACACATTGACATCTATAATTTCAGCAGCCATTCATTCTGAAATGCATCTTAATTTCAGAGATATTAAATTGAAAAAAATTATTTTTCCATTGATATAAAACAATATATACACTGCTGAATTTGATTCTGTTTTTTTAAGACTTTTGCTTTATATTCAAAGGTGATATTGTTCCATATAACATTGTTTTCTTGTACTATCCTTGTCAGTTTTTGTTGTCAAGGTTTTACTATCGTCATAAAGCAATACAAACAGCTTCTCAAATTTTCTAAGTTTCTAAAGCAATTTGTATAGGATACAATTATTGCTATCTTGAAAGTAAAATAGACTCATCTATAGATCCATACTGAGTTATAATGACTCAAAACTGGGGAAAACTCAAATGATCAATAGCCAAGCAGATAAACTGTCAGATATTTATGCAATAGAACACTATGCAGCAATAAAAAAAATCTATTGATATATAATCAAATTGGATGAATCCCAAAAACATTATGTGGATCAAAAGATGTCAGACATGGGCCGGCCCGGTGGCACACTGGAGAGTGCGCCGCTTGGGAGCGCGGCGGCGCTCCCACCGAGGGTTCGGATCCCATGTGGAGACCGGTTCCCGCTCACTGGCTGAGCGCGGTGCGGGTGCAACACCGAGGGTTGCGATCCCGTTGCCGGTCCCCAGCACAGGCGCGACACCAAGGGTTGCGATCCCGTTACCGGTCAGTAAAAAAGACAAAAAGGAAAAAAAAAATGTCAGACACAAAAGAATACACAACGTATAATTCCATTTATAAGTTCCAGTGGGAGTAAAATTAAGCCATGGTGGTAGAAACCACAACCACCAGTACCGAGAGGACTAAAAAATATTAACTAAAAGGGAGCACAAGGAGACTTTCCAGGGTGCCAGAAATATTATTGATTAGGATGGTGGTTACACAGGTGTATACTGTCAAAACTCATCACAAACACATTTAGCACCTGTACATTTTATATTTACTTCAATTTTCAAAATACAGGAGGGAAAAAGGTAAGTACTACCTTTAAAAATGTGATATTGGGGGCCGAGCCCGTGGCGCACTAGCTCTGGGAGCACAGCGACGCTCTCACCGCGGGTTTGGATCCTATATAGGAATGGCCGGTGAGCTCACTGGCTGAGCGCGGTGCGGGCGACACCAAGCCAAGGGTTGCGATCCCCTTACCAGTCACGAAAAAGACACACACAAAAAAAATATATGATATTGGAGCCTTGTAGAGGGGGGATCTTTTCATTATCAATTCAGTTTCTTTACACATTCTTAGTTTACTGAGATAATTTATATTTCTTCTAGAGTAAACAATAGTGGTTTATATGTTTCTCAATATATATATTTCATCTACATTTTTGAATTTATTGAAATGCAGTTCATAGTACTGTTATGATTTTATACATCTATATTTGTAGTTCCATTCCTAATACTATTTCTTTGTATCTTTTCTCCTTTGTTCTTGATAAAAATAACACCTACTGCTTACTTAGTACTTTCTATTT